GGATGGATTACAGGCCATACTTATGCAGTTTATGGTCCTCTGAGTTTGGGTATAACTACAGTTTTGCTAGAGGGATTGCCAACCTACCCCAGCTATGAGAGATATTTCAAAATTGTTGAGAAATATAAAATTACACAACTCTACACTGCACCTACCACAATTAGAATTCTAAAGAAGCATTTTGAAACAAGCCTGGATGTTGAGCCAGCTTATGATCCACATGTGGGTAGTAATTCAGAAGTGGAGGATATTCGCAAGCCCACAGAAGGGAATAACCATTCAATATTGACAGAGAGGTTGTGCAATGGATCAACAATAAATACTTGCTCAGTATCAAGCAAATATGATCTGTCTAGCTTACGGCTACTTGGATCTGTTGGAGAACCATTGAATGAGGCGGCACACGGTTGGTTTAACAAGAGTTTTGGAAACCTGCATGTTGTGGATTGCTATTGGCAAACAGAAACTGGAGGTGTTGTGATTGCTTCTTTTTCAAATGCCAAACGATGCAAGCCAGAATGTGCAGGAATGCCGATGCCTGGTATTTTCCCGATGGTTACTGATATGGATCCAAGACTTTCAGTTAAGACCACAACTTTGGATAAAACAGAATCAATCTATTCAGGCAGTGTTGGTAGCCAGAGGTCTAACTTGGGGAAAATATACATCACAAAAAGCTGGCCTGGTATTGCAAGGAATATTTTAAATGACACTAACAGATATATTTCATCATACTTTAGGACCGGATTTTATTTCACGGGAGATGAAGGAGTAATGGATGAAGATGAAGATATTTGGATATTGGGAAGAGCAGACGATGTACTGAATGTGTCTGGACATAGAATTAGCACTGCAGAGGTTGAGAGTGCAGCATGTACTGATTCTCATGTTGCCGAGGCAGCAGTGGTTGCAAGACCACACAAGATCAAAGGCGAGTGTATAGTATTGTTTGTAGTATTAAAATGCCAAAAAGACTCCATCCATACCTCTAGCCCAAAGACTCCAAACTCATCATTGGGCACAGTTATAAAAGAAGTTATTTCAAATAAAATTGAAAAAGACAACAACACAGACTCATCCAATGCGATTGATTCCAATGATCCGCTGATTTCCAAAGCCTTGTTTGAATGTAAGCTATCTGAAGAGCAAAGCATCAAAGATAACATTTCCAAGACAATTTATAAGAGAATTGGAGGACTTGCTAAGCCTGAGACAGTTCTAATTGTCAATGGGATTCCAAAGACAGCAACAGGGAAGATATTGCGAAGGGTTTTGAGGAATATTATTTTGAACAAAGAGGTGGGTGATTTAAGTACCTGTATTAATCAAGAGGCTATCAAAGATGTTGAGGAAGCATATAGGGAATCGCTGATTCAAAAGAATTAGCTATATTACAATATGTATTTTTATAAAATAAAGTCTCAGGAGATGATTTAGTATAAATAAATTGATTTATTAACAAATAATACATTCTGAATTTTGAACCGGATATCGATTTTCCTGGTAGTATTTTTTGATGGGATGATGGCTGTTTGAACATTGATGCTAAGAAAAAGCCATGGAAATAATAAAAAGTAGAACAATGGAGGTTTTGTAGTGTTATTTCTCTTTTTGAAGAAATAAAAACGGTCTAGGTAAGGATCGAACTCACAACCTCACGGTTAACAGCCGTGCGCGCTAACCAATTGCGCCACTAGACCTTGCGTCCCATACAATAATAATACAAATCATCTGGATGAAACATATATAGAATACTAAATCTTATCATGATTGTTTGTCATGGACATCATATCTCCCTACAATGAAAACTTTCATCATCCCTGCAAATATAATTTCTTATTTTTGTTTATTAACATACCCTTATTTTATGGCTTGTTCCACTCCTTCAACTGTTTCCTTTAAGTATAGAAATGGAATAATTACTGCAGCAGATGTATCTGTTTTATATGGTTCGCTAATTCTCACCAAAATGGAACGTATTTTTATACTAAACAACTCCTCCATTGCATTTTCCGGATCTGTGGGTGATTCGGAAGCGTTGAAGACATTTTTACGGGAAGAAATTGAGAATGATCCAAGAGATATAGACTGTAGAGGAATATACAAGCTAATCCAGAGATACCTGTACATGAAAAGAAGTGAAAATAAACTGCTTCAGTGTAGCTGTGTAATAAGTGGATTTTTGAATGAAAAGACATCTATTGCAGAAAATAATACATCAAATCCATCGCTGTTTTTGGGATGTATAAATAGTAAAGGCAACTTTTGGTTTGATGACTCGATTGCCACGGGAATGGCCACACATCTGGTCCTGCCCCTTATTAGAAGCCACGACACACAGAATATGACAAAGGAGGAAGCTGTCGAATTCATGAAGCAGCTGTTAAGAATTTTGATATATAAAGATTGTACTGCATCCAACAAAGTCCAGATTGTTACCGTGGATGACGGTGGAGTGCAAACAGATGTTCTTAGGATTGAAACCAACTGGGATTTGGGCCATAAAGCAAATGAAATACTCCTATAAATCAATAAAACCATACTCTAATAAAAATTTGTTGCTTACAAAATGTTCAACCTTATTCTATACTATAAATCATTGTGGGGCGCCATGCCATATCTTTGAGTATAGTATACTTGTTACTTTTTGGATCTTGATTTCATATCTAATATGTTTACTTTAACTACCATTAAGTCTATTCTAGATGCATAGGGAATAAAATAATCATTAGTAATTTATTTAAAGCTTCTTAGAGTCTACATCATTTGTAAAAAGTGTTCCCGTATTCGCTTCACACTCCTCAATCACAGGGCAACGAATCTTTAGGATTTGCAAATATCCCACTATATCCCCAGGGCTAATCTGATATGGGTTTTTGGAAATATCGTTTTCTTCTGGAAAATTCATTCTTTCTTCAGCACATGCAATCACCTTGATTTCTCCCCTATAATCAGAATCAATAACGCCTCCCAGTACACGTATATGATGCTTGGTCATTAGTATGACATAATCCTTAGGGCACGACATACTTATACCAGTTGAGATAAATACAGGCACTGATGGGACAAGTGTTACTGCCTCTACTGCTCGTACTTCATATCCCCTGGGTGTAAATGTTGGAACGAAAGCTCTTTCATTTAATTTTTTAACTTTGAACATTATGGGTAAAAGAAGGGGGTATATTTAAGAATATCATAGATAGTAGCTCTTAGACAAATTATATATGTGTGATTGGTATATCTTTCTTTTAGATATTCCAGTTTGGGATTTTTACAATCCCTCAACCGTATATGGAATAGTTTGGATTGAACCTACCCCTATATCTGTTGAAATTGATTCATTTATACTCTAGCCAAAATATTTCTCCTTGAAAGATTAGTATTGGATATTTTGGTGAATAAACTATTACTTCTTTTCCACCCATGAATTTTGATAAAAAAGTTTCTATCGAGCCAAATACCATCGTATCAAATACTATCGATGTGACACTCTACGATGAAGGCCACACAGCAGCCAGTGTTATTGTAGAGCGATTAGAACAGACGACAGAATTTGCAGCATATAAAGTGGACCATCCCACAGACAAGTTTGTAAAGTTGAAAATACAGGCCTCTGACAAAAAGAGCCCCAATGTCTTGTTAAAGGATTGTATAAGTGGGATAGTTAAAGATGTGGACGATTTAATTGCCCAAGTAAAGCAACATCTACAAAATACACAAGTTTGATTAAATCGTAGATATTTATTCTGTTATATCAGTTGAATAAGGGTTTGATTGAAATTTTGTATCTTTTTCAAAATACTGTCTTATTTAGCTGCTATGTATGATCACTGAAAATAAATAATGGATGTCTAATAAAACCGACTATAATATTCATGTAGATGAGTAATGACAAGTGCAAATGGTTGATCCACGCCTATTAAACCCCGGCTTTGTCAGTAGAAATTTTTTATCTCTTTTTTGGTAAATTTATTGTTTTCATCGCCCTTTTATGAAAATTACCATTGCCAGAACAAATAGCCAATACAACGTAACTGCACCTGCGACCTATTACGACTACACCAACTATTCAGTAAAGCCTGGGAACATAGACAAATACATGATAACTAGTGTGCTAGGGAAGGGGAAATACTCTGAGGTATTTAAAGGGATTGAAAGAACGTACTCAGATAAAAAAGATAGTCTGCAAGAGAGGAGTTCTCGTATTACAACTAATATAAGCAGTACTGTTGTCATAAAGGTTCTGAAGCCCATAAAGCCTTCTAAGATTTTTAGGGAAATTCTCGTATTAGATAACCTAAACCACAAGAACATTATAAAGTTAAAGGATGTAGTTAGTGATAAATCCACCAGAACCCACTCTCTTGTGTTTTCATATCTGAGCCATCAAGATTCCTACACGGCATTTGAGAGCTGTGATTTGCAAGAATGTATAGAATATTCTAGACAGATTCTTGAAGGGCTAGCTTATGCTCATTCCAAAGGAATTATGCATCGGGATATAAAACCAGGAAATATAATTATCAGCGATGATTTGGGGAGTATGCAGGGTACTGATGGGACGAGAGAGAATGGATGTAAGAATAGTTCTGATAAAATTCACGATACTGAAAAAGGCGTATGCCTGAATGCAAATACTGAGGACAGTTCCTTTAACTGCACATCGAAGAATAATAACAAGGTATCTTCAGACGATTCTACCCATATCTGTGGGGAAAAGAGATTGCTAAATGAAGATATATCGAATACTAAGACATTTTTAAAAATAATTGACTGGGGATTGGCAGAATTCTACCATCCAAAGAAAGACTATTCCGTAAGGGTGGCTAGCAAATTCTATAAAAGCCCAGAGCTCCTACTAGACTATCCATATTACGACTATTCCCTGGATATTTGGGCATTCGGATGTATTTTGGCAGAAATGATAACGAAAAAACAACCATTTTTTTATACAAAAAGAAAAAGTAGTGTCTTGATAAATACTGAAATTAGTAAATGCCAAATTAAGACACCACCCAACTCTACTTCTTCACAAAATAATCTGGTTAACCATCAGACTATTGATAAAAAAGTTTTTCGTAATGAGCATTTATCTAGTAATGTTCATAACACCTCCATGAGTACACTTAAGAAGAATGATTCCATTTTGGGTGAGATAGTGAGGATTTTGGGAAAGGAGGATTTAAGAAACTACATAGCAAAATATGAGATAAATATCAACAAAAATAATGAAGCAATTATAGATAGAATCAGTGGGTGTGAGAAAAGACGTGATTTGAGAGAGTTTGTTGAGAATGAAACGTTTTTGTCGATAGTTGAAGTATTGGAAAGTATATTTGTGTATGATCATAGAGATCGACCCACGGCAGAAGAGTTATTGAGGCACAAAATCTTTCAATGACCAAAGTTGATTGACTAATCCTAAGTAAATAAATCACAAAATATATGATTGATTTTTAGCTATCAAAGAAATATATTTACCTATGGTGTGACCGTTGGTTCAATGACTATCTCATTTAAAGATTAATTGACCACCTTTAGTTAAAAATTACCAATTAAATGATAAATATCATTCTAATGTAAGATAACATCACAAAAAAATTATTTATTGCTCCAAACGATGACATTAAATAATATAACCTGTTTCAGACAACTCTTTTGACTTCTAAAACTATTTTTAGTCTAAATTTGCTAAGATATAGACAATCGCACCGAAAAACGCAAAGATAGCAGTGTAGATAAATAATATAAAAAACACTGCTGAAGTGGTGTAATTTGATGATGATTTGGATATTGAAACAATAAATCTTCTAATCGCCTTGCCAAATTCATACCATTCTCCTTCCAATGCCACTTCATTGATGGAATCCATGTATAGCTGATGCACTGGCAATATATCCAGTGTGGAATTCTCACTGAGCCATATAAATACTCCTGTCTTCATGACCAGCAATATTGGTACCAATATAAATTGTATGTAAATGTTTGAGTTCTTAAGGCAATATGAATATATGGGCGAAAAAAACATCCATATAGCCATTAGTGCTTGGATGTAATATTCTATTCCGTTAATATCACACTTATACTTTGGCCTATAAAGACTTCGTATCTTCCTGTATAGCTGAAAAATGATTATTGCAATAATGAAACAGACAATATGCCATGATATGTGATAGAATAAAGTATATGTGAAGTCATAGCGAAGTATCGGTGTCCAGAGATCAAAAAAGATCTTAAACTCCTCCATCAGTTCTTCTACACGAACATGATAAACCATTCGAGGGATAAAGATTAAAAATTGAGAAATGAAATTTCCAAAAAGGGAAAATTAAAAAATTTTCAATCAATAGAGTATACTGATGTTAGAGAATAGTAAGTTTCACTGGTCACATATGTACAATATAATAAGAAATATACTGATGAGAAAGTATTTGACAATTCTAGTTGAATGAATGTATTCAACAAAAACTTTATACATTACCAAAGCATACTTGTGTATCATCTCACAGCATTTAAGTGGTGATTAATAGCCTTCTAACCCAATGTTTTATTACAAAATTTGTATATTACACTCATACAATATCTTCATAACTTGCAAATTTTATATAAAGCAAAGGTAGTAAGTTCTATTATTTCAGCCCCTGCTTTATGCCTTCTTTTAATGAAACTGTTATTTCGATTATTAAGTCAGCCCTACGTCGTTCATTTTCTTCTACAACCCACTTGAAATTTCTTTATTTAACAATTTTAAAGCAGTTGTCCCTAAATCCTGTAAGTTCTATTTCAGAACTCCGTGGTGTGAAGGGTGTTGGGCCACAGGTATTGGAACAGATATTGCCACATATAAGTGAAGAGATGGTAAGACAATTGGAGAAAGATGAGGAGAAAAATACTGCAAATGACGAAAATAAAGAGTTTGTCAATAGTCTTGCCAAGGAACGTGATGAGATTGTCAATGATTTTATTAACCTAAGTGACAATCTGAGTGAAATAGAAAATAAATATATGGAGGAGGAGAAACTGCTTGATGTGGCAAAAACTGACAATATGGATAGCCATGCGCTTCAAAACGACAGCATCCTTATTTTAAGCAGTAATTTAAGTGATATGGACATAAAATGCACATTCAAAGGTAGTTTATCTAAGCTTGATGAAGTAGAACCCACCGATAGCAGATTTATCGGAGAAGATGGAACCACCAACGAAGATATTTCCTCATCAGAAGTATTATTCATTAGTGATAGTAGCCAAAGCACACCAAAGAAGAAAGCAAAAAAGTGCAGTCAAGGAGAAGTGAAATGTATGAGTGAGGAGCATGATACAAGCAATGCTAGTATTCTATCCACTAATCGAATGTATATCCCTAAATATAGATCTCATCCCTATTCAATTCTATTATCTCTTTTTGATGAGAATGGTTTGCATAGGCACCTTCTTGGAATTAGATGTACTATCTATACAGATTCTCAAGTAGATGTGCCATTTGCAGCAAAACAATTGATCAAAAATGGATTGATCTACAGTG